GCTTTGGGGATCACCTGATAAAACAATTGTCTGATTTTACCTAATAGGACGCACCGCATTCACATATCTGGAGAGAAGAATGTGTCCCGATTCTACTCACCAAGGGTCAAATCCTCTCTTAGACAGGTGTCTGTAAAACAGAGTGAAGTGTGGTGAGAGGGCCGAAAACAGCGGTCATTAGAATTTTACTGCGACCACACAGTATATCCAGATTCCAACTACAATTTGACCAAGGTCTGCATCAACAATCCTCTAGATTCAATTCCTACATATCTTTGTGCAAGTGTAAAATATTCATCGAGATTACCTGTAGATTTGACATGTTCGATATTAACTGGAGAAATGTTGTTTGATTTAGCGTATGCTTCAAGAGTCTTGACCAGCTGTGGGTCAAGACTTACCCTTCCCTGCATTGCATGAAGAAGGAGGTAGGAGACATGCTTAGCAGAGTACCGCAGAATTCATGATTCATCCCTCATCTCACCCCATGCTCTGCTGTGAATAATCCCACCGTCTCTTCTCCAGGTCCCACAACTAGGAGCTCAAGCCTGTCTCATCAGCTCTACCTTAGGTGAGACAGACATATTGAACGGAGTTTGGATGTTAGCACCAAATCACTTTTGAGTATTTTTTTTTTTTTTCCTTACAGAATTCGTTAAGACTACTGATTTGGTGAACTCAAGAATCCTGAAACGCTATGCGTATAGAAGATTTTGGCAGCGGACCCGATACGAAGGGGTTGTATTTTAGAGGAGAGGAATTGTACAAGCTCCAAACATGTTCTTGGAGGCCTGTATCTGATTAGTACTCATTGCAGAAAACTAGTCTGTTCTCGCTCTCCTGTTTGAAAGAAAACACGGCCATTCTTACCAAGAACATATATCAGCTTGGTCCTCCTGCTGGTGTGGTCTACGTTCTCTTCGTAAATGAATAGAAAGTCTTCAGTCTGGTTCAGAACTTGAAAATGATTGTCCCCTTCATCTGTGATTTGGAAGGCAAGATTTCACGACAGCATGTAAATATTTTCCCGTTTTATTTCACAGGAATTATTTGAAAACACTACTATTGACACCGGGCCTAGCGATAATCTCTGTTTTGCCAGTATTCATCCCTATAAGCTAAGAGCTCGAAAGGCAGGAAGAGATACATTTTAAATATCCCACTATAATACGGAAAACAGATCTTCCCGACTTCAAACGGAGTACACCTCCTAAGTCCATATGGTCTTTCCTGTGACTTAACCCCTTGAGGCAGGATGTGCAGATCGCATGGTACGGACCACACATTGCACCCATAATTTTCATTTACTACTACTACTTATATTAAAGTTATCTAAGAAGCAAAGTTAAAATAATATGTTTTGAGCACGTGATTCCTTTCTGTTATAGGACTACTATTTTTTTTTTCTTGTGGTTCGATGAAACCTTAGACATAGGAGCATTCTATCTTCTCTATTAATTCAGATGAAACCAGCGTAAAGTAAAATCACGTAAAATTTGGTTGATTATTATGCAATTGTTTTAATGACTCTGTACTACAAAATTGAAGTAATTGTCATGTCAACCTGAGCCAGATTATTGCAGAAATACATTTCAATATTTAAATAATGACCTCATGTAATTAATGTCGCTTCTCGGCCGAATAACGGAAAAGCCATCTTTGGCTTCAACGACCTTGTTAATTTAAATTATGGTTCGATCAAGCACAACACTTCCTCTCCTTGCTCTAGTTGGGAGCCCGAGGCAGGAAGATTGCAAAGGTTTTTGATGTAGATCTGAACTACAGAGTGAGTTTCAGGTCATTCTGAATACAGAAGATGACACCGTCTCAAAAGGAAACCAGGAAAACATACAATCAAGAAATTTTCAATGTATATAAACTATATGCTGTATATGTCTCATACGTGTGTGTGTGTGTGTGTGTGTGTGTGTGTGCGTGTGTGTGCGTGTGTGTGTGTATAATTAGGAAAATTGCTCTTGGGATCAGCAGTCCCGGCCTTGAACATATAAACCATAGTCGACCTGTCATTTATTTCACTTTGTAAAGGAACTCAGATGATTGAAAGTTTTGATATTTCATAGCAGGGAAAGTTGTTCTGAAATCCATATGTCTATGGGGGACTGAATCAGAGGCACCAATCTGAACACAGCCAATGGTGTTCTTCATAAAGTCACACCGGAAGGACACGCACTTACATTGAACCCTGAACTGGTCATCTCCAATGTAGTTAGCCTGGACTATGATGACAGTACAGTCTCCATTTAGTCTTAAAAGCAAACAAACAATGTTCATTACTTTTTCTCATCATTCAAAGCACATTGAACCGCTCTAAGTCTCCGAATGCATGTGGAACACTAAAATTAGGAATCATAGCGTTATTTCCCCAAGAAAAGAAGTCAGTAACTAACCATATTGCCATCATCGAACTTGCATAGGTTTCGTGAACCTTAGTGATGACTATTCTTTAAGACTGCTGTGGTAAAACAGACTATGTAACCTGGCTGTCAGTGACACTGCGTGTGCATCATAGCATAATACCAGGTCACTAGAAGAATCTCATCTCGTTAGAGTAGCAAAAAGCCACATTTAGAAGGAGGAGGAGGAGGAGGAGGAAGAGGAGGAGGAGGGAGAGGAGGAGGAGGGAGAGGAGGAGGAGGGAGAGGAGGAGGAGGAAGAGTACATGAAGTTGTCAGAAAAAAGTGATGGGGAGATATGGGAGGAGGTGGAGGGGAGGGAGTGGGCGTGGATTTGATCAAACCACCTTATATGCTTATATCCCTGTATGAAATTCTCAATTAAATTTAAAAAAAAAC